CAAAAAAAAAAAAAAAAAAAAAAAAAAAGCCTATGAAAAAGGTACCAGGGGCATCTCATGGGGCCCCCTACTGACCCCCGGGCCCTCGGGTAGTGCCCGAGTTTCCAAATGGTCAGTCCGCCCCTGATCATAAGGGATGAACAACTCCCTTATGATAGCATGGGAATTGACAGGACCTCTTTTATGGAGAGTTTCACCACCTGTAAAAGTGATCTAGCGGCTGTATAGCCACTAGGATTACTTTTACTTCGAGTGGAGTTGTCTGCTTAAAAAAAAAATGATACCGGTATCATGGTTGTATCGATTGCTCCAACCCTCAACTTGCAGCAGATTTTTCAGTAACTATACAAGTCTGCATAAATGATATCCTGACTGGTCGCACCACGCAGCAACATTACTATTGATCAGAAAAGCTCCATCTTTAGGAAGTCATTCTTGAGCATTAGTTGGGCCTTGCCTAGGGTGAGATGATGTCATCAGTTTGCTGCAGGCAGGTGGAAGCATTTCCTCCTTCTCCCCTCCCCCAGTGATCACATCGCAGCATTATAGCAAGTCGAGGTGAGAGGCTAAGGCCGTATTGATGTGCCATCCTGGAGGAGTTGGACTGCATGTGCAACCTCTGCAGGGAAAGAAATGTCAGTGGCCTCCACGTGTAAAATCATTCCTGTTTTGGGGGTTGTCTCATTGTTGCCCATCTATTACACCTGTTGTTCATTTCATTAACACCAAAGCAGCTGAAACTGAAGAACACCCCCCTCTGCTACTTACCTGACCAGATCCATGTCCCAGGAATTTCACTGACTTGATGCTGGACTCTGATTAAAAAGTCTTCCTTTCATTTTTTTGAGCAGTGTATTTCCTCCTCTCTTCCACACCCTCCCCCCTCTCTTAATATCCCCCCTTTCCTCCTTCCTCTCTCCCCCCCCCCTTCCACTCTCTCCACCCCCTCCCCTTTTCCCCTTCCTTAATATCCCCCCCCCTTTCGTAATATCCCCCCTTTCCTCCTTCCTCCCTCCTCCCTCCATATCTCCTCCCCCCCTTCCACTCTTTCCACCCCCTCCCCTTTCTTAATATCCCCCCCCTTTCATAATATCCCCCCTTTCCTCCCTCCTCCCTCCATATCTCCTCCCCCCCCCTTCCACTCTTTCCACCCACTCCCCTTTTCCCTTTCCCCCTCTTAATTCCCCCCCCTCTTAATTTCCCCCCTCTTAATTTCCCCCTCTCTTAGTATCCCCCCCCCTCTTAATATCCCCCCTTTCCTCCGTCCTCTCTCCATATCTCCCCCCCCCTTCCACTCTCTCCACCACCTCCTCTTTTCCCCCTCCCCCCATCTCTTAATATCCCCCCTTTCCTCCGTCCTCTCTCCATATCTCCCCCCCCCTTCCACTCTCTCCACCACCTCCTCTTTTCCCCCTCCCGCCATCTCTTAATATCCCCCCTTTCCTACTTTGTCTCTCCATATCTCCTCCCCCCTTCCACTCTTTCCACCTCCACCCCTTTTCCCCCTCCCCCCTCTCTTAATATCCCCCCTTTCCCGCCTTCCTCTCTCCGTATCTCCTCCCCCCCTTCCACTCTCTCCACCCCCTCCCCTTTTCCTCCTCCCTCTTGCTGCTGCTGTCATTGTCAGCCAGTGATATTGTGTCTATTTCAGTTGGTTTTATCTCAACCATTGGTCCACAAGGGTACTGAATGCCCTTGTCTGACTCACCCATAGACACTCATTTATTTCAGGTACTTATATAGCGCCGTCAATATACGCAGCACTTTACATATATATTGTACATTCACATCAGTCCCCGCCCCCGAGGAGCGTACAATCTAAGGTCCCTAACTCACATTCATACATACACATACTAGGGCCAATTTAGGCAGGATCCAATTAACCTATCAGCATGTCTTTGGAGTGTGGGAGGGAACCGGGAGTACCCAGAGGAAACCCACGCAGGCACAGGGAGAACATGCAAACTCCAGGCAGGTGGTGCTGTGGTTGGGATTCGAACCAACGACCTGAGTACTGCCAGGTGGAAATGCTAACCATTTAGCCACTGTGCTACCTATAGGGAGAATCTATAAATCTGTATCAATACCAGCAACCATTTCCCAATTGATATCTCACCCCCACACTTTCCTTTGTACATACAGTTAGGTCCATATATGTTTGGACACAGGCACAATTTTAGTTTTTTTCAGGTATTTAAAAAATATTCAAGCTCTAGTTCTATAATGGATCTGGGCGGACAGTGCGCACTCTCAGGTGTAATTTGAGGGTATGTACATCCAAATTGGAGGAAGGGTTTAGGAATTACAGCTCTTAAAAGTAGCCATCCCCCCTTTTACAACCCAAACTACTAAAAGTAATTGGACAATTGAATATAATCATAAATAAAATGTTAGTTTGTAATATTTTGTTGAGAATTTTTTACTGGCAATGACTGCCTGAAGTCTGGAACCCATGGGCATTACCAAAGACTGGGTTTCCTCCTTCTTGATGCTTTGCCAGGCTCTAACTGCAGCTTTCTTCAGTTGTTCTTTGTGGGTCTTTCTGCCTTTAGTTTTGCCTTCAGTAAGTGAAATGCATGCTCAATTGGGTTGAGATCAGGTGATTGACTCGGCCATTGCAGAATATTCCACTTCTTTTCCTTCAAAAGCTCCTGGGTTGCTTTTGCAGTGTGTTTTGGATCATTGTCCATCTGTACTGTGAAGCGCCGTCCAATCACCTTTGCTGCATTTGGCTGAATCTTGGCTGACAGTAGATCTGTAAACACAGCAGAATGCATCCGGCTGCTTCTGTCTTCTGTCACATCATCAATAACCACCAATGACCCAGTGTCACTGGAAGCCATGCATGCCCATGCCATCACCCTGCCTCCACCCATGTCATCACCCCGCCTCCGCCCATGTCATCACACCGCCTCCGCCCATGCCATCACACTGCCTCCATCCATGCCATCACACTGCCTCCATCCATGCCATCACACTGCCTCCGCCCATGTCATCACACTGCCTCCACCCATGCCATCACACTGCCTCCATCCATGCCATCACACTGCCTCCATCCATGCCATCACACTGCCTCCGCCCATGCCATCACACTGCCTCCACCCATGCCATCACACTGCCTCCGCCCATGCCATCACACTGCCTCCGCCCATGCCATCACACTGCCTCCGCCCATGCCATCACACTGCCTCCGCCCATGCCATCACTCCGCCTCCGCCCATGCCATCACACTGCCTCCACCCATGCCATCACCCTGCCTCCACCCATGCCATCACCCTGCCTCCACCCATGCCATCACACTGCCTCCACCCATGCCATCACACTGCCTCCACCCATGCCATCACACTGCCTCCGCCCATGCCATCACCCTGCCTCCACCATGCCATCACACTGCCTCCACCCATGCCATCACACTGCCTCCACCATGGTTTACAGATGATGTTGTGTGCTTTGGATCATGAGCTGTTCCAAGTCTTCTCCACACTTGTTTCTTCCCATCATTCTGGTACAGATTCATCTTAGTTTCATCCGTCCAAAGAATGCTTTTCCAGAACTGGTCCGTCTTTTTTAGATGTTTTTTTGGAAAAGTCTAATCTGGATTTTCTGTTCTTCAGGCTTATGAATGGTTTGCACCTCGTGGTGAACCCTCTGTATTTGCACCTTGTGGTGAATCCTCTGTATTTGCACCTCGTGAAGTCTTCTCTTGATTGTAGACTGACAATGATACACCCACCTCCTGGAGAGTGTCCTTCACTTGTCTGGATGTTGTGAATGGGTTTTTCTTTACAATAGAGAGGATCCTGCGATCATCCACCACTGTTGTCTTCCGTGGACCTCCATGCCTTTATGTTGCTGAGCTCACCGGTGCGTTCTTCTTTCCTCAGAATGTCTGTTGATGTGGCCGCTCCTAATGTTGCTGCGATCTCTCTAATGGATTTGTTTCATTTTTGAAGCCTTACAATGGCCGGTTTTTACTTGCATGGACGGCTCCTTTGATGATGATGGGGGTTCACAGCAATAGATTCCAAATGCAAATCCCACACTTAGAATCAACTACAGACCTTTTACCTGCTTAACTGATGAAGAAATAATAATGGAGTAGCCCACACCTGGTCATGGAACAGCTCTTGATTCAATTGTCCAATTACTTTTGGTCCCTTAAAAAAAGGGGGGGGGGGGGCTACTCTTAAGAGCTGTAATTCCTAAACCCTTCCTCCAGTTTGGATGTACATACCCTCAAATTACACGAGAGTGCCTCCACTGTCCGCCCAGATCCATTATATAACTAGAGCTGGAATATGTTTTGGTAAATACCTGAAAAAAACTAAAATTGTGCCTGTGTCCAAATATATATGGACCTAACTGTACAGACAACTTATATCAGCTACTGTCTCTTAATTGTTGGATACGCTGTATTTGCCTTTTTTTCAATAAAAGATACATTGAAAGTGTTTATTATACTAGTCTACGTTTTGTTACATACAATAAACCATATTATTATTACCGTATTTGCCGGCGTATAAGACGACTTTTTGACCCTTGAAAATCTTCTCAAAAGTCGGGGGTCGTCTTATACGCCGGTACACATGTTAGGGGGGGCTGCGGCATTAAGTACAGGGGTTTGCAGGGGCTGATGTCTCTTACCTGGATCCAGTCCCAAGACGATCCGGTCCAGGAAGCGCGGCGTCTCCTTCAGTTAGGCCACTGGATGTTCGTGCGGCTGCTCGGCTCCGCCTCCTCACCGGTGATTGGCCGCCAGAACTGTAGCTCAGGAAAGGCACACAGGCGGCCAATCACCGGCGAGGGGGCGGAGCCGAGCGGCCCCGCGAAAATTGAGTGCCGGAGCAGCAGGTAAGTGTGCTGTGTAGAGGTGCTGCTGCAACCACATATGCTGGCTGCAGCAGCACCATACGAGAACAGGGTCAGCAAGTCTCAGTGGGAGGAATAGTGCCCCATCATTGGTGTCACTGATACCAATGATGGGGCACTATTCCTCCCACTGATACTAACGATGGGGCACTATTCCTCCCACGGACACCAACGATGGGGCACTATTCCTCCCCCCCACTGACACCAACGATGGGGCACTATTCCACCCCTCACTGACACCAATGATGGGACACCATTCCTCCCACTGACATCAATGATGGGGCACTATTCCTCCCACTGACATCAATGATGGGGCACTATTCCTCCCACTGACATCAATGATGGGGCACTATTCCTCCCACTGACACCAATGATGGGGCACCATTCCTGCCACTGATACCAATGATGGGGCACTATTCCCCCCACTGATACCAATGATGGGGCACTATTCCTCCCACTGACACCAATGATGGGGCACTATTCCTCCCACTGACACCAATGATGGGGCACTATTCCTCCCACTGATACCAATGATGGGGCACTATTCCTGCCACTGATACCAATGATGGGGCACTATTCCTCCCACTGACACCAATGATGGAGCACTATTCCTCCACTGATACTAATGATAGGGCACTATTCCTCCCACTGACACCAATGATGGGGCACTATTCCTCCACTGATACTAATGATAGGGCACTATTCCTCCCACTGATACCAATGATAGGGCACTATTCCTGCCACTAATGCCAATGATGGGGCACTATTCCTGCCACTAATACCAATGATGGGGCACTATTCCTCCCACTGATACCAATGATGGGGCACTATTCCTCCCACTGACACCAATGATGGGACACTATTCCTCCCACTGGCACCAATGATGGGGCACTATTCCTCCCACTGACACCAATGATGGGGCACTATTCCTCCCACTGACATCAATGATGGGGCACTATTCCTCCCACTGACACCAATGATGGGGCACTATTCCTCCCACTGACACCAATGATGGGGCACTATTCCTCCCACTGACACCAATGATGGGGCACTATTCCTCCCACTGACACCAATGATGGGGCACTATTCCTCCCACTGACACCAATGATGGGGCACTATTCCTCCCACTGACACCGATGATGGGGCACTATTCCTCCCACTGACACCAATGATGGGGCATATTCCTGCCACTGATACCAATGATGGGGCACTATTCCTGCCACTGATACCAATGATGGGGCACTATTCCTGCCACTGATACCAATGATGGGGCACTATTCCTCCCACTGATACCAATGATGGGGCACTATTCCTCCCACTGACACCAATGATGGGGCACTATTCCTGCCACTGATACCAATGATGGGGCACTATTCCTGCCACTGATACCAATGATGGGGCACTATTCCTGCCACTGACACCAATGATGGGGCACTATTCCTGCCACTGATACCAATGATGGGGCACTATTCCTCCCACTGGTGTGCATTGGAAGAGGGGTAGTCTTATACGGCGAGTATAGCCCAAACACTACATTTTAGCAGGAAAAGTAGGGGGGTCGTCTTATACGCCCAGTCGTCTTATACACCGGCAAATACGGTATTATATTATGTAACATAACATTACACGATGATCACCAATAGCATTCATCATATTATTGATATCAGTTGTATTGCTATTAATATTATAAATATGATAAATTAATTTGAATTTTCCATGCTATATATGATTAAATATCACACAGTATAAAAAAATGAAGCAGCCAGCACAGTATCGCAGGTATCAATACATAAAGCTAATAAAATAAAAAAGTGCAGCGCTACACATTCAAAAGTACTAGTAAACATAAAAAATTATATAATGTCCAATAATGTGCAAAAAAACTTAAACAAAAGTCTTTAGTGAAAAATGAAAGTTCAAATAATTTCAGGGAAAATTGTGCTTCCAAAAAAAATATATACACCTATATCAAAAAAATATATACACAAAAAAATATTCTATATATATATCAAAAAAAATATATAAAAAAAAAAATAAATTTTGGGGATCCACCAGCACCTCAAAAAATACTGCCTCTTACCAGACGTGACCCCACAATTAAGTGACGGTCAACAAAAAGCGTAGCACACTCCAAAGACATGCTCTTAAGTTAATTGGCTCCTGTCTAAATTGCCCTGTTATGTGCATGTATGAATGTGAGTTAGGAACCTTAGATTGTACGCTCCTCGGGGGCGGGGACTGATGTGAATGTACAATATATATGGAAAGCGCTGCGTAAATTGACAGCGATATATAAGCACCTGAAATAAATAGTACGGATACCAAATTAGGATGATGAACTCCATTACTGCTGACTGGGGGAATACTGTGCACTTCATACACTGGATGTGGATAGACGCCAAAAGGATCACTCTCATTGGATTCCCAATTCATGAGCATGAGCTCACAAACTGATACTTCAGATAAATTGCCAAATTATAGACCTAAAATAATGAATTATCCTCAAAACAGGACAAAATCATCCAAAAAGCAAAATAATCTTCATGGTGTAGTAAAATTAGCAGGATTTATTGCCTCACAACATACGTAGTATTATACGTACATCAAGATATACTTAAAAAGCATGTGCCGCGCTGCAGAGCGTGCTGACGTCACACGTTCAGACTTCTCCCAACGCGTCATCTATGATGTCTTTATATTTTTTTTTATATATATCATAAATATGATTTATGAATCTCTCTAGTTCCCTGGCCTCCGCGCTCCAGACTTCTCCAGTCACCCATCCTCTGGAACTCCCTGCCCCAACCCATCATATTATCACCTACTCTCCTCTCCTTTAGGCGCACCTGAAAACCCACCTCTTCAGGGAAGCCTTCAGACTCTTCCTTCATCCCCCCAACGCGTTTCGTCATCTGTGATGTCTTTATATTTGTTGTACAGCGCTATATTGGCGCTTTATAAATTGTAAAAATGATTTATGAATTTCCAATGATCTTCATTTTTATTATCTTCATTTTTGATTACTGATTTATTACTTCCTTCTCCGGCCTCCTGATCCACGTGTTACAATTCTTTTTTATATAAGAACTTTTAGATTTTTAATGTAACAAGTCAGCCCTGATGAAGGGGGTGAATGTAAAGCTGTACAGCCGAAACGCGTTGTCCATACAGCCGAAATGTGTTGTCTTCGCAAACAATGTATCATTGGAATAAACATGTATTTGAAGCTAATAGTGTAACACTTCAGTTTTCTGTTCCATATTTGCTCATCCTGTCTGGTGTCTGCCTCCTCAGGGTGCTGCTGTTGAACCGAGCGCGTCAGATGTCCCAGATCCGGAGAGCCCAACCTCAGCAGAGATGGAAGAAGAGTCTCCGTTACATTGAAGGCGCCATCTACCAAGTCTCAGCCAACAAACTATCCAAGGCGTGGAGTCCCGGAGCTGCCAGCAAGTCCGCTTTTAAGACTGGTGAGTCACATGACCGAACAAAAGTAAAAAAGATGCTTCTGCGGGCAAACCGCTCAATTCACGTATGAAATACATTTATGGGAGCTGATTCACCTGCCAAAGGATTTGTATTTCTGTACATGTGGTCCTGAGATTCACACAGCTCTGTCACACAGCACAGCCTGGGCAGGGCACCTGATTGGCAGTTCAGTTATACTTCTAGGTCTTTTTTGCTCCTCCTTCCTGTGGTTGGTCGCCAAAAAAAAGGAGCAGCGCAGTAATGAAGTTCATCTCTTGGTCATAAAATACTAAATCCTTTACTGCTAAAAGGGGCAAGGATAGGTAAGCGGGACTTTGTATGTGCCACCAAGAAATCTCACAAAAAAAAAATTAAAATTCTTATCTTTTATTACATGATTATAAGAAACACAAGTAAGAGAACATAATTAGATTGTGAGCTCCCAGGATCAGGGCCCTCCTATCCCTCTTGTATTGATCTGTATTGTTGCTGTATTGTCTCCTGTTATATTGTAAAGCGCTGAGCAACCGGTGCCATAAATCCTGTATAATATAATAATAATAATAATAATAATAATAATAATTAACACTGGGCTCGTGTATATGAGGAATATGATGATGGTATTTGGACCAACTCGTTTCCCAGAAAACTTGCTTCCTCCGGATCCGCACCTTTTTAAATATAAAACGAATAGGATATTCTCTCTTTATGGCTTTCTCTCTTCTAAAAGGACATTCTTTACTCATATAGAACCCCACAAATAGGCAAAAATAAAAGTTCCAGTCTGGACACTTCCCCCCCCTTCCAGTCTGGACACTTTCCCCCCCCTTCCAGTCCGGACACTTTCCCCCCCCTTCCAGTCCGGACACTTTTCCCCCCCTTCCAGTCCGGACGCTTTCCCCCCCCTTCCAGTCGGACGCTTTCCCCCCCTTCCAGTCCGGACGCTTTCCCCCCCTTCCAGTCCGGGACGCTTTCCCCCCCTTCCAGTCGGGACGCTTTCCCCCCCCCCCCCTTCAGTCACGCTTTCCCCCCCTTCCAGTCGGGACGCTTTCCCCCCCTTCCAGTCGGGACGCTTTCCCCCCCTTCCAGTCAGGACGCTTTCCCCCTTCCAGTCGGACGCTTTCCCCCAGTCCGGACGCTTTCCCCCCCTTCCAGTCGGACGCTTTCCCCCCCCCCTTCCAGTCGGACGCTTTCCCCCCCTTCCAGTCGGACGCTTTCCCCCCCTTCCAGTCGGGACGCTTTCCCCCCCCAGTCGGGACCCTTTCCCCCCCTTCCAGTCGGGACGCTTTCCCCCCCCCCTTCCAGTCGGGACGCTTTCCCCCCCTTCCAGTCCGGACGCTTTCCCCCCCTTCCAGTCGGGACGCTTTCCCCCCCTTCCAGTCGGGACGCTTTCCCCCCCTTCCAGTCGGGACGCTTTCCCCCCCTTCCAGTCGGGACGCCCCCCCCCTTCCAGTCGGGACGCTTTCCCCCCCTTCCAGTCGGGACGCTTTCCCCCCCTTCCAGTCGGGACGCTTTCCCCCCCTTCCAGTCGGGACGCTTTCCCCCATTTCCAGTCCAGACACTTTCCCCCCCTTCCTGTCCAGGCCAATTTTCAGCTTTCAGCGCTATCACACTTTGAATGACAATTGCGCGGTCATGCAACACTGTACCCATATGAATTTTTTTTGCATATTTTTGAGACAAATAATCTTTATTTTGGTGGTATTTATTCACTGCTGGGATTTTTAATTTTTATTTGCTATATAAATGAAAAAGTCCAAACATTTTTTTAAAAAGTGTTTTTCTTATAAAATTTACAAATAAATAATCTTTCTTCATAAATCTCGGCCAAAATGTATTCTGTTAAAAAGAAAAAAATAATCCAAG